ATCACTATGACCACTTCAGTTATTTGGTGGTAGGAGTGTTGTTAATTGTGTGCTGAGGGCTAGTTGTACCCCTAGCACACATGACATTGGCAGCCCAGAACTCTGTTCCGGGCATGCTTATGTAAATTCTGTGTATAAAACATCTATCAGCACGCACTGCATGCAACTGACATTGTGAGCTCCCTTCCACCTTTCTCGGATGCAGACAGTATTTTATTTATTTATTTATTTTTTACTTCTGTCCACCTTCCTACTCTTACCTCTGTTCATTTACTGACCCAGAACGTGTCTATGAGAAGCCTGTGATTGGACCACGTAAGGCCCCTATGTTGTTGGAGAGGGCATGAAAGTCTGCATCAGGAGCTTTGCTCAGTGTTGGATTCAAGGTAAGTAAATTTGTTTTGTTTTTTTCAGACTTTACTGCAAATTGAGGGGAGGACCTTATCCATTGTGCCCGATAAGGCAATTTACTTAAAACAAATGTTTTCCCCTAAAAAGGGTTGGAATAACTCTTTAACCAAACATAGAAATTAGAGCATGGCTTGTGGTTGACAGTATTGGCTTTATGTTACTGACAGAGCTCTCTGACTACCTGTGCTACTATGGATAAATATCCACATGTTACTCTAAAATTCAATTGCTAATTTAGCCACAATGACACCGCAAAAGATATTCATATTGAGTAGTTTGTGGGTCTTGACATCCATGGTGACTGATTATTATTCCAGCTGGGTACCTGATAACTGGCAGGGCTTGAATCTTGTTCTTGCCAATGAGCCATATATATTAATATGAAAATAAACAAGGACATTATATGTGTGTGTATGTATGTAGTTCCTGACTAATTGGTTCCGAAGCCTAGTTCATAAAGTGAGAACTAATTTCCCATAGACCGCAATGTAATAAACATGGGTTCAGTTCCTGACCAAGAAATTTTACCATTGAAAACCTAAATTATTAAGTACAAATACAAAATGAAAGCATAGCAAATACATATACGTTGTAGGAACATTAAAGGAATACATACCATATTGAAATCTTCATCAAATCATCATCAGTCATCTTCCTTTCTCAATGACATGTTGAATGGGTCCACCCTCAATGGTCTGGCACATGTTGAAGGCTGCACCTCACTTGTTTCTGGCTCATTTGAGATGCTCCATGTGTCTCATTGACTACCGCTCCTCCATGTGTCCCATTTGCCCTCCATATGTCTCATTCCCCCCTTCATGTGTCCCATTTGCCCCTCCATGTGTCCCATTCCCTCCACTCCAAGCTCCTCCATGTGTCTCTACCTCCCCTCACCTCCTCTACCTGCCAATCTGTCTCTCCCCCTCCACTCCTGTACCTATCTGTCAGGATCCTATCCTGACAACCAAGATTATGTTTCGTTTCTGCTTTTTTATTTCAACATTCCAGTTCTTCACCACTAGTGGCCTCCCTAGCCACTCAGTTACTCTCTCACCTGCATAGCATGATGATTACATCTGCTATAAGAGGCCACAACCTGCTAAACAAGGTTGCCTTTACATTTATTGACGTTTGTGCTCTTATCCTGACAAGACTTCTAATCCTTTAGGAATATGTAGGGAACTGCACTCAATCCCATCAGTCCAAGCCAGGGTGCTTAGTTGTACCAGAACAAAACACCAGGTTCCCATAGAAATAGTGGAAAATAGAAAAGAGGTCCAGTACTCCTTTGTTCAAAACAGGCAACTTTATTTTGATAAAACGGGCAACTTTAAGCTTGATAAAGACGTTAAGGTCGAAACGTTGCTGTGGGTACCAATAAAGTTGCCTATTTTGAACCAAGGAGTGCCTGTACCTCTTTTCTATTTTAAGACTTCTAATCCTGACTTCTACTGTGGGACCTGCTATACGCTGAATACTATTGAACCAACCTGATTTATCCTTTCAACCTGCTTCATTCCAAACCTGCTTACTATCCACACGCTTGGAGAAAACCAGATCTTCGATTCGTACCTGCTTTACTCAATACTGGACTTCGAATTCTTATAGGTTTGTTTCTATACTTACCGAAAACTACTTAACCAACCTGGATATTACAAACTTTCCTGATATTTACAACAATCCTGAAGGACTCTGTTACATCTATGCAAAACCTGCTGCACAATCTCCAAAAACCAAAGAGGCTTATCAACTAAATGTATATTGTATCTATATTATTTAAATCTTTGTATTTCTGTTTAGTTCTGACTAGTTGTATTTTGATTACCTGTATACTATAATTTCATTTATAGGTTTTCATTCTCTTTATATTCCTGTAACTTTATAACCTGTCTAGGGCATATTGCCTAACTCTTGATTTCTGTTATCTCTCTTCATACTTGCTTATAATTATACTTATAGGTTCACCTTATACCAATTACCTATATTTTCAATTATAGGCTCTCCTTCTCCATTTGCCAATAAATTCACTTATAGGTTCTGGTCCTATCTTTTTCCCAATATCCTGCTTAGGGCATATTGCTTAAATCTTGTTTTCAATATACTTACCTGTAATTCCATCTATAGGTTCTACTTTCTCCCATTATCTTTATTATTTCACTTCCCTTTAAATCCTGCTACTCTTATTGTTTTCAAGACAAACCATGTCTAAGATTCCAAATAAATAACCTAAAGTTAATCTCAGTGTGACGAGACCAATCTCGCCACTGTGCATTGGAGGAGCCTGCTTGCCCGCCTGCTGCCTTTAGACTATGGCCCCATGTTGAAACGCTTGATTTTCCCCTGCAAAGACACGAAAGCCGGGTCATTCGGTGCGTGCCCTGTTTGAGCGGTGATACCCCAGATAGCTATGCTATGGAGCCCATTCGTATAATGAAAGACTTTGGCTGCATGGCAATTGAACTGTATGTGTGTGCTCTGAGCGCCATTCAGTAATAATGTGCACTCAGATCTGAGCTATCTGGGGATATGTTTAATGTACCTGTTTTGTGCAATGGCTGCACAGTTATATATTTTTATGTGTTTTGTCTTTTGCTGCCATGTGTTCAATGGAGTTTTACCTCTGTCCTTGGAGATAATTGGATTACTTCCCAATTATCTCCAGGATAGAAGACTCTGTGGAACTAGTTTTGGGCAGAAAAGACATGCTTCATTTGGTCACAAAGGACTTCGATCTATCTTTTGAACCAATGGAACAATTTCGATGATTTTGACATATGCTTGTATTTGGAGTATGCTGATTCTGGTGTGAATGTGATGCATACTTTTCAAGTTATGAATAATGTGGAAAAACTGTATTTCTCTGCCGGTGATAATTACATTACCCATTGTGTAAGGTAATTGTATCACAGGCAGAGGGGAGGATTTTGTGTGGGAGTGTCTGAGTGTATTGTATGTGTTTATTGGTTGTTTTTCAAAACCCTGTGGGTGGTACTAATGTGTATATAAGAACAATTCTGGTATCCCTGACTTCTGGCTTTCCCTGTTCTGGCTCTGTCTGTTTTGCTTGACCCTCAAACGAAGTGTCGTCTCGTTCTTGGGGGAAATTGGATTGTATGCTGATTGCCAGGAGTGTAAGCTGATTGTATGCTTTTCCTGTTCAGCTGCTTACAGCATTCATATGCTTGAGAGCATCCGTATGCTTCTCCGGTTCGGTGGTTGTGGTGTCTGCTGCAGTGATTGGAGTCCTCAGGAAGCGCTAGGAGCATCCGTCAACGGAGGTACTCAGTTTAAGTCTCATCTGACCTGATTGGAAGAATGACACTGTCCATGTGAAAAAGTAGTTGTACCTGTCCATGTGTCTCTCCCCCCGCCCCTCCCCTCCTGTACCTGTCCATGTGCCTCTCCCCCCTTTCCCTTCTGTAGCTGTCCATGTGTCTCTCCCCCCTCCTGTACCTGTCCTGTCCATGTGTCTCTCCCCTTCGCCTGCTGTACCAGTCCATGTGTCTCCCCCCCTTCCCTCCTGTACCTGTCCATGTATCTCTCCCCCCTTCCCCTCCTGTACCTGTCCATGTGTCTCTCCCCCCCCTCCTGTACCTGTCCATGTGTCTCTCCCCCCTTCCCTCCCTGTCCATGTCTCTCCCCTTCCCCTCCTGTACCTGTCCATGTGTCTCTTCCCCCTTCCCCTCCTGTACCTGTCCATGTGTCTCTCCCCCTTCCCCTCCTGTACCTGTCCATGTGTCCCCTCCCTCCTGTACGGTCCAATGTGTCTCTCCACCCCTGTACCTGTCCATGTGTCTCACTCCCCCCTGCCTTCCTGTACCTGTTCATGTGTCTCTGGCCCCATGTATCTCCCCCCTCTCCTCCTGTCCATGTGTCTCTCCCCCTCCCCTTCTGCACCTGCTCACCTTGGTACAGTACTGTCACGTATTCATCCGCATATAAAAATGTGATTAATGACATTTACTGTTCTGACAGGAAAAGTTGTGCTGAGCAGCAATCAAATCCACAGGAGGGTTTGTGCTGAGCAGCAATTATGCAAATGGGAACCTGGTAACTGCCTTTGGGGTCAAAGGCCGATTACAGCCTATCAGATCTAGAGAAGGGGTATTTAGGGGTATTCCTGTTGTGGTTGTCTGAGAGTGTGTTCCTGATTCAAGTTTCTTCTGGTTTTTGACTTTGGCTTTGATTTTGACTTCCCTGTATTCTGGTATCCCTGACTTCTGGCTTTCCCTTATCGTTGTGTCTCTTTCTGTATCCCCTGACCTCGGCAAGTATCCTGACTACTCTTTGGTACATTAAGTCCGGCCATTCTAAGGCCCAGTAATACATTACCTATTAGTCATCTATGTGACACAATTCTACGTACTGGATCAACTCGTAATCCTGACAAGTACCTGATCTGACAGGAAGTGTTCTCTCTGTGAGAACTTCCTGGCAGAGTGACAAACTCTGCTCCAAAGGGGACGCTCCTCAGTCCACATCCACAGTGCGCTGACACAAAATGGCAGCAACATAAAATGGTGGCATGTCCGGGAAGCGTACGTAAAGGTGGGAAAACCAAGCAGGAGTTCATAAACAGGGAAATGCCTTTGTGTGTGTGTGTGTGTGTGTGTTTATATATATATATATATATATATATATATACACACATACACACATACACACATACACACACACACACAGCATAGCAGAATCGTAAGTGCTTGTAGCTATATTAGTGGAAATAAATATAATCTATATCTTGACAGGATTATAATGGTTAAAACTTAACTTTTACTGTATTAAAGGATAAAAAATCTTGGAACATATTGCTCAACAAACAAATAGACTGTCAGAAAAAATGAGACAAAAACTAATACATATTAAGGAATGTCTACTAAATAGTGACAACGTAGTGAAATTCACACCTGTGACACTATATAGTAGACAGCCTAATTCAAAACAGACAAATGAAAATAAATAGAGGTAACTTGGCCTCTAATCTAATAGCTCACTAGGTGCCACAGACCTAATGTTGTAGTGAGTTGTTAGTTGCTTTCATGGTAAAAAAGGGGAATAGTGTTACCAAATATTTTACAACAATGTATTCAGGAAAATTATTGATGTCCATTTGGTAATAACCCTAGTTGTCAGGGGAGGGAAGTGTAGGAGGAGTAGTTATTCAATATATCTATGTACAGATAGACCCTATTGTGCCTTCAAAGGCACCACTTAATCCAAAAATCTCTCTATGATATTGCTGGATACACCGAGCCTCCCACCTGTAATACTCTAGACTGGCACTTAACTGAAGTGTCGCTGTATCGGTATAAAACATAACATTCAAAGATCCCAACTAAACAACTTCTTAAATATTACAGTGTCCTGTTAAAGCGCCAGAATGCACAACCGGGCCCCTCATGGCAGATGTCCATCGGGTGGCCCTAAGTGCATAGGCCATCCGATGGATTAGCGGTTCCCAGCCCGTGCGGTGCGGCTGCACAGGCAGGGTCGCCATTACCGATTTCAGCTTGCGTACCACCTGGGGCACTGAATTGTACCCCTGGGGGTACGCGTACCACAGGTTGGGAACAGCTGAGCAAGAAGAACATATAGGGCGCAATAGACAATAACGCTCCACCATATCCCAACTCTGTTATGGTCTACATCTTTTAAATGTCAGCACTGAACATTGAATATTGGATAGACCCATGAGTTTGAATGTATGTGGTTTAGTGTGTTTGCAGGAAGGAAGTTTTATAATGAGAGTGTGGCTGGAGGGATGGCTTACCTCACCTCAGGATCACTGATTGTGTAGAAAGAGCGGGAAATCACAAGGGCGGTCTGACCGCAGGAGCGCGCATCAGGCTGCAAAATTATACCCTACGTCAGTTCACTGTGCTGACGTCAGGGTATGGAAGGGTATGAGAGCAGGGAAGTTACATTCCCTGCTCTCAGAAATTGCCAGCTTGGGGGCGTGGCTTAAAACAGTGTTTAAACCCCTCCTACAGATTAAAGAAAACGATTTCAAAAGTAAGAGAAGGAGGCAAATATTTAAGATACTCTAACAACTTACATTAGATTAAGATGTTAAAGTGCCTACAGTGTTCCTTTTTGAGGGACCTGGCTGACAAATCAGGAAGAAAGTCCAGAGAATTTAATTTGCAAGCCTTATGTTTAACCCTGTAACTCTCCAAAACAGCACAAAACCTGTACATAGAAAGTACTGCTGTAGCTGTGAGAGTTCACTGAATACAAATACGAGTGGTTTAAAACATAGTGTGAGGACATCCAGCTTTTTATGAACACAGAAGTCCCTCTAGTGGCTATCTAGTAGACAGCCACTAGAGGAGGACTTAACCCTGCAATGTAAATATTGCAGCTTATGAAAACTGCAATAGTTACACTTGCAGGGTTAAGGACAGTGGGAGTTGGCACCCAGACCACTCCAATGGGCAGAAGTGGTCTGGGTGCCTGGAGTATCCCTTTAATATGAAATAAGTCAATTATGGTTGAACATACATAAGGCTCAAATTCTAGGTTTTGTTTTGATCAAAACTTGTACAATTGCCTTTGTCTTTTTAAAAAGGATTGTTGTATTTTCTTAGACAGATAAGGGAACCACTAACATACAGGGCCGGATTAACATAGGGGCTGATGGAGCTGCAGCTCCAGGCCCATGGAATAGGCCCATTTAAAAAAAAAATTTTTTTTTTTTTTTTTTTTTTTACACACTACTCTTAGGTTTGCCACCTGACTGGTATTTTACTAGCACAGCTGGTATTTGAGGCTGCCGTGCAAGTAGTGCAGTAATACCGGCAATACAAATGCAGGTAATTTTCTCAGAATAAATGGAAATTACTCTGCAATACCAGCACCGGCCGGTAGGGGTCACTGTGTGTGGAGAGAGGCAGGTATAAAAAGTTACAGAATATCCCTGCCTCTCTCTACTACTCACTGATCTGTGGGGGAGCAGCTACACAGCATAGAGTCCAGACAGCAGCTCTACAGCTCAGGTGAGGGATGGGGGGAAAGGTAGCAGGGACACATGGGGACACTGAGACACTAGGGGACATATGGGGACACTGAGACACTAGGGGACACAGACACTGGGGGACACATGGGGACACAGACACTAGGGGACACTGAGACACTAAGACACAGACACTGGGAGACCTTGGAACATTGAGACACTTGGGGACACTGGAAAACATGGGGACACCGGGACACTAGAGGACACTGAGACACTAGGGGACATATGGGGACACTGAGACACTAGGGGACACATGGGGACACAGACACTAGGAGACACTGAGACACTAGGACACATGGGGACACAGACACTGGGAGACCTGGGGACACAGACACATGGGGACACTGAGACACTTGGGGACACTGGAAAACATGGGGACACTGAGACACTAGGGGACACTGGGACACATGGGGATGCTGTAAGACATAGGGACATTGGGAGACATTGGGACACGGAGACACGATGTTCCCATGTCCCCCAGCCAGTGTCCCTAGTGTCTCAGTGTCCCCAAGTCTCCCAGTGTCTGTGTCCCATGTCTCTCAGTGTGCCTAGTGTCCCCATGTGTCCCAGTGTCCCTATATGTCCACAACTGTCCCCATGTATCCCCAAATGTCTGTCTCCCAGCCAGTGTCCCCTAGTCTCCCAGTATCCCCTAGTCTCTGTGTCTGTGTCCCTAGTGTCTTAGGGTCCCCAAATGTTTCAGTGTCCCCATGTCTCCCAGTGTCTGTGTTCCTAGTGTCTCAGTGTCCCCATGTCTATGTCCACAACTGTCCCCATGTCTCCCAGTGTCCCCAAGTGTCTGTCTCCCAGTGTCCCCTAGTCTCCCAGTGTCTG